GCAATTTTAGGGGATTTATGACCAACGGGTTAACCCATAAACAAGCTCCACTTTAAACCACGAAAATTAAGCTAACTTATTTTTGTAAAATGTAAACTGTACAGGGTGCTGCATTTTGGATGTCCGAATGGGGAATCTCCGAAACTAAGAGGTTTAGCCAAAAACGGGTGATACATTTTTTGAGAAAATATTATTTGTTAAAACCGCATCCCGCTATCGTCTTTTGTTTTCGACTTAGAGACAAAAATTGACATTTTAGCGAAATCTAAAAAATTCATATCTTCGTTATTATAGAAGACACAGATTTGAAATAAGGACATTATACAGGCACTTTTATGCGTAGAATTTAATAATGTAGTTAACAATTTTTTTCAGTTTGTTTAGCCGTAATAAAATAAACTTGTATTTTTTTAAATGGGAATCATAGATGGCTATGTCATTTTTAAAAAGTTTGTTTTTTTCTTATCTAAAAAATGTATATTTGTAACAAATTATTATAATACATTTTTAGCAAAAAATTATCTTTAATTTTTGTTCGCAGTTGACCATGAAAAAATGTTGCATCTTCAACTAAAAGGATTTAAACTATATTATATTCAACCAGTGTCACTAATGAAAGAGTTTTCTAAGTACTAAGTAATGAAAAAAATGCAAAATAAATTGTAAATCAACTTATTGGCGACTAATAACATTTCTTTGTTTTTAAACAAGCTAACATTACCATTGCAACTTCTAGTGATACATAGAGTGTTGTAAAAAAACGCTTTAATTCTTCAATAAAATATATTTTATATGATACAAAAATGACGATATGGCTATTCAAATACCCAAATTCCGTCTATGTGGAACGTTATCCTACCTCCATTAGATCATCAAAAAATATTTTTTATAATTGTGTTGACTGTTGACACATTTGTTTTTCCTATTTTTGGATTTTTTAAAAATAAGTAATAATTGTGTTCAGAAGCGCTCGCATATTTGTTCAATACTTCTAACGTATCGCATTTTTAAAATTCTTATAATTTTATCTATTTTTTCATCTATATTACAGTTCACAAAACTCTTATTGATTATTATTTATACATTTGGAGTGAAATAGTTTTTCCATGACCAACTATTATCAAACAAAATATGTATTTCATTTTTTAAATATAGTTATAAAAAAATATTCTGTTACAAATATATATTTTTTAGATCAGAAAAAATAAGCTTTTCGAAATTCGAAATAAAAAAATACAAGTTTATCCTATTACGGCTAAACTAATAACTGAAAAAACGTGTTAACTACATTATTAAATTCCTCGTAAAAAAGTGCCTGTAGGTATAATGTATTTATTTCAAATCCGTATCTTCTATAACAACGAAGATATGAATTTTTTTAGATTTCGCCAAAATGTCAACTTTTGTCTGTAAGTCCCTATTCGGACATCCAAAATGCAGCACCCTGTACACAAATTTGTGTTCATTAAAGATTGCAAAATCCTTAGAAAATTAACATTATTCGGAAAATAACCAATAAATAATTATGTAATTATGTAAACAAGAATGCAATTTTGTAATTATTCAAAAATTTGCTGGTAACCACATATATACTGATCCAGTCTTTTTTTTTCAAATTCTAAAATACTTTTCCTTTTTTCTGATAAAAAAGCAAAGATAACATTTGCACATCCATCTTAAATACCTATCTATACCTTCTGTACAAAAAATACCGGGAAATTTTAAATAAAATAGTAAGTACTACGTTATTATTAATCAATTTTTATTTGATTTCCTTTAAAGTAAACTCTATCTGAAGCGACATGCATATGCCAACGTTTAACTCAATCATCAAAACACTTCTCATAAACAGCAGTTCTTTCTGCGAATTTTGTTTTATCTTTTTTGTAGACTCAAAACGCCTTTCGCGCAATTTAAGTTTAAGAAACGGTAAAATGCCACATAGGGTGCCGGATTGATGACATTTTTTGAATTTTTGGCCAAAAATTTGTGCAGGATGGTCGTTTTGTGTGTGTAGGCGCACTGTCATGGTGCAAAATCCCAGAGTTGTCTTTCCACAAATCTGGCCTTTACCAGCAAATATTTTTTACAAACATTTTACAACGACTAAATAACACTATTCTTAAATTTAAGTGACGATTTACAGTGATCATTTCTTTGATTCTCTTTACATTTTTCTCTGTTTTTGCTGTTCAGAACGAGGAATGTCGGTAACTTATTTTCGGCCCAATTTAAATGTTTTGTACCACTCATATGCTTGTGTTTTTGACATACATGAGTCCTCAAAGGTTTTTTGCAAAATTTTCAGACACACTACACGAATTTTTTATTGGCAACACAAAATTTCAAGCGAATTTTCTGATCGGTAGTGGAATCTATGACAAAAATCGCAAGTCTGGTTTAACCACAAGTTATGGCAAAAACAATTTTAAACAAACCACTTGCTCTATAGCGGTAAAAAGAGAGTATATTTATAGTTGTACTAATATACCAGACAAGAATTATTAAGATATCTTCTACGTGAACTCTTTGAATCGAAAATTCCCAACACTTTTTTTACAGAGTAGCATGTAGAGCTTGTCATTTTTTAATATGGTTTTTCAGTTTCGTCAATTTTAAATTAATCTGATTGTTGTAGAAGAAACATTGTGTATATTTCGCGTTAAAAGTAGATAAATTTTAAAATAATCTCTAATCACAAATTATTTTACGGTTTGTAAGGTTTTAAGAATTGTGAGAACTTTGAGCTACTAAATAATGTTTAAGAAAAACATATACAAGTGTTTCAAAATTTGCAGAACAGCTTTATAATAATGTATAAAGCACGTTATCCGGGAGCATGCATCAGAAAAATGTTTAGTAGGTAATTATTTTTTTAAATAACCTGATACCTATATTATTATTATCAAGCTAATTATTTTTAGTATTAATTTTTATTATAATTTTTTCTTTTTAAAACAAGTATTGATTTGTTTTCTAGTTCTTTTACGTAGCTTTTTGTTTAAACAGAAACTTTGATAATAGTTTTTTCGTGCTACACACTTAAATATCATTAAGTTTATTGTAAGTATTCTTGTAAGAAACTTGTTCTAAATAATCTGAAACTTACAAATTGCTTTTAAATACAGCTAAAATTAAATTATTTTTTAGATATGTAATTTTATGCCTGAAAACATACCTATCTATAACAATTATTGTAAAAAAATAACTTCTAAAATACTATTCTTATGAATAGTACTAGTATCCCTATTTATTACTTTTTTTATAAGCAACAGTACTTTGTACTACAGGGTAGCACGTTTTACAGCAAATTTCAAACAACTAGTTTTTACGTTTTTATACCTACTTTTTATACTTACAAACGAGATCATTAAAAACTTGGGTGAATCATAATTAGCTGTAAGAATTTATACCAAAGCTTTTTTAGGTCAAAACAAAACAATTAATCTAATATTTACACTTTAGTAACTGGAGGCGAGCCTTTGAACATTTACAAGGTATAGTTTTCAATTTTTAAATCGTTATTGTGATTTTTGTGTTTATCGCAATGCATTTTCAAATTAATTGAGTAATACTTATGTAGGTAATACAAAGATGTATTTGGTACCCATGTAAATTTTGGTAAAAAAATTTAAATTCTATTAGGAGTCTTCAATTGACTAGATTTACACGAATTGCCAACATCCCATCAAAAATTTCTTTCCTTGCACGTAGATATCAAACGTATCTTTTTAATTAAAAGTCAAATTTTTCCTGAAGTGGGTTCTCAAGATTAACTCAACGAAGTGTTCGACACAAAAAAACTTTACGATTTTTTATGTCAGTAGTATGTTTATGTAAATTAATAAAATTTGGTATATGATTGGTAAAAGGTACCAACATTAACATATAAAAAAATCAAAGTCGCACCTTTTATAATTTAGATATCTGTAGACCAAAACAGCACTTTTTCACAGAGCGTCACCTTAACAAAATACAAGTATTTTAATTAAGTATCTAAGAAATATCAAGTACTTAATAAAATAAAAAACAAACTAGGTAATAAAAATAAAGCATAGGTAAATGAATTTTTGAGCGACGAACACAACGATACTTTTTTTCGCTTGAAGCAATTTAACCAACATATTGACATGTGCGTCTTTTAAAGAAGAAAAAAAAAGTTAATATAATTTAAATTACACGTATACTAATGTAAAAAGAATAAAAACAATACACACGTACAAATATTCAAAAAATAAATATGTAAGTAGTTTTTTTTGTCATAAATCATAAAATGTTTGAACTGCGCTACTTGCTAAAAAATATTGTAAACAACACCATCACACAAGTGAGTTTTACTTTGCCTCAAACCTTAGATAATTTCCACAAAAATGCGGTAAATAACTCAAAGGTTAGAGAACCTAACGAAAACCATGATGGACGCCTACAGCTATGTGATCATCCCAAAGTGCTGAGTGTTGAATTAAGTTATAAGGTTGACTATACGTTTGTCTAGTTTTTGCGGTTTGGCTTCATATACAATAAAAAATGATGTCAGTTAATTTCAACTAAATTTTTGCTTTGTAACCGAACCATAAAAAACATATGTAAATTATTAATTGTCTACTCCTTTGTACCCTTGTAGGGTTAAACTTGATAAATATTCCGATAAAGGGGTAATGTGGGGTTTTAGATAAGTGCCTGAGGCAAATTCCCGCTTTACAAACCCTCCGACTTGGAAGAATTCAAAATCTTACAATAACCTCTAATACTGTAAATTATCTCACTAATCCATCCTTCCAACCTCCGTCACTTAATACATCCACGATCGAATTTTTCCAAGCCATCACAAACTTAACACAAAGCCGCCAATAAAATGAGAGTAAGGGAGTGAACTCCGGATTGTTATTGAGGCCCGAGGCTTGTTTGCAAACTGAACTGCAGCCGCTGATTCGCATCACATGCGCTTCTGATTGATTTCCCTTGTTCGGAATTTCTTAGTGCTCATTACAAAGCTCTCACTCGATCAATAATTCTATAATACAAAACAAGACGAAATACAAACACGGTCATTTCTTAGTCGCCGCTTTCTGCTGCTGCTTTTCTTTAGCTTTGGATTCTTGTTCGCGCTTCAACTCCAAGTACTTGTTTAGTCTTCCTCGTTCTTTCATCAAAGGAATTTTCTTATAAAACTTTAAGAATTTCTTATACTCTTTATCCGTAATTGAATCCACTGTTACTAACTCCTCGTACAGTTCGGACTGTCTCAAAGGATTGTAACTGAGCTGAATTATCCTAAGAGGGGTCAACACTTTTTCAACCACTTGTTTCAACACTGGTAAGGGGTAATTCACTGTGAGTTTGGCTAAACAAGAGATGTCAATATTTCGATCAATGCCGTGATAAGGCATCAACAATTCTCTCCAATACAGATAAATGCTCCCATAATCGGGACGAGGAATCAGAATTACCTGACAAAATTAAGACTTTATTCAAATACAAATGTTATAATTTTCTCACCCTTTCAAAAACTTTCTTCATTTTCCCCGGCTTTCCTAACCAAGGCTGAGCACTAATCCCAAAAACCATGACTCGATCTTCGGATTTTATAGTCTTAACAATACCTTTTTGGAGCTTTTTACCAATCCGCTTCGGATCTAAGTGCCTCTCTCCTCTTGGAACTTTCTTGTAGAAGATTTTTTCAGCTGCGTCAAAATATATGACCGAAGGTTGTAAAATCCGGGCCATTTTATTCACCAAATGTAGCAACATTTTCATTCCCTTTGTTACAAAAATTTAATGAAATGGTTACACAGGGCGACAAAAAAAAGTCATGTCGTGACAACTTGACAAATTATGTATCGTTTTGTTCGTCTCAGTGAGACAAATCAAATGCACACACTTTGAACAAAATATTTTTTTTCTAATTTAAATGAATTTAAAATACTTTCGATTACACGAGGCGACAAAAAAAAGTCATGTCGTGACAACTTGACAAATTATATATCATTTTGTTCGTCTCAGTGAGACAAATCAAATGCACTAAAAAGAATTTCAAAAAGTCCACACACTTTGAACTAATTATTTTTTTTCTAATTTAAATAAATTTAAAATACTTTAACTTAAAAAAAATCATTACTCAATAACTATTAGGCCGATTTCTTTCAAATAAAGACCATCCTAAAGGGATGGCCTTGCCTTTTAGAATGATATGCAATTTGAAATTGAATATTGGCAAACTTTCTTTCGAACAGTGTTCGAAGAAGTTCGAAGTAAATCGAAGTAATCTAAGAAAAACCCTACGAGTAATTTTTTTTCTTCGTCTTATTAGTAAGAATCCAAATTTTTATAATAATATACCGAGTAGTTTTTAGGATATGATTTTTTGAAGTTAGGATTTGCTGTTCAGGTATTGCGCCATATAGGAGAAATGCATGTTAATCTTACTTAAAATTGCATTTTTATAAAAGTATTTGTTTCAAAACTCTTCCTTTGCTTAAAAATGGTCAATTGCACCTTCTTTGTTCTAATTAAAATAAATAAAAACTGTTTCTTTACTTAAAACAAACAAAAAGTACCTGCGTACTAATTAAAGCAAATAAAGAGTTTTTTTGTTCTAAAAATGATCACTGATCATTGAGCAAAAAGGATCTAGAAGTTTAAAGCAGTAGCTTTAAATATAAGAACAAATCTTTTTCAAATCAAATCACTTTCCATTCAGATTTCGACTTGTTCACTTTGTTCTAGCTTTTTGAAGTTTTTTTGAAAATGTTTTGAGCAAATGCTTTCTCATCACTTTCGAGTGATGTTAAATGTAGAATGTGATGAGAAAGCATTTGCTGAAAACATTCTCAAAAAAAAGTTCAGAAAGCTAGAACAAAGTGAACAAGTTGCAAACTTTAACTTCAAAAATCCTATCTTAAAAACTACTCGGTATATTATTTTAAAAATTTGGATTCTTACTAATAAAAAGATGCTCTACACGATGGTGACGAAGAAAAATAAATACTCGTAGGGTTTTTCTTAGATTACTTCGAAGAAAAGTTTGCCAATATTCAATTTCAAATTGCATATCACTCTAAAGGGCAAGTCCAGCCCTTTAGAATGGTTTTTATTTGAAGGAAATCGGCCTAATAGTTATTGAGTTATGATTTTTTAACTTAAAGTATTTTAAATTCATTTAAATTAGAAAAAAATATTTAGTTCAAAGTGTGTGCACTTTTTGAATCTTTTTTTAGTGCATTTGATTTGTCTCACTGAGACGAACAAAATGATATAAAATTTGTTAAGTTGTCACAACATGACCCTGTGTTATTGCTTAATTTAGTTTTTACTTTTTTGCCTGGATATTTTCCAGCTAGAACTTCCGGCGACAAATCAAAAAGCACACTTTTGCTCTCTGTAAAAACCGCATTGGCAAGAAGGTGCTTTCCGCTTTGTCTTGGTCCAATTAAAAGAGTCGAGCGTGGTTTAATCATCTTTTCGGTACTTAAAGGTGCAATGCAGTTAATTTTGACGGCTTGTCGGACATCACCAAGGGTTGCCGGAGGATCAAAACCCCAATTTCTTCGCTCCCAATTATTATAACTAAAATCTCCTTTATATTCTTTTAAATAATGGTGTTTGTAAGGATGTATAATTCCATTATCAACCAATTCTTGAAATAGATCTTCCACACTTCTATCACCAGTGGGATCCTTTTTTCCTTTTTTCTTCTTCTTTTTACCTTTTTTCTTCTTCTTTTTTTTCTTTTTGTATTTTTTGCCTTTGCGTTTGGCGCGGTCTTTCATTAGAGCGTCTTCCAACATTTCAAGTTCAAGCCTGAAAGTCACAATAAAAACGAAAAGTAAACACTGTTATTAAAAATGACCTCATCATTTCGTCTACAACTTTCCTCAATTCTAGTTGCATTTCATAGCATTTTTCTTCGTGTATTATATCCATGTAATGCTTTTCATCAGGATTATCCTCATCTTTTCTTTCATCAAAAATCCGGTGGTACTCCTCAATGGCATTTTCGTACGGTTCTTTAGCCACTGTTGGTTCATATTCAAGTTCAAAATCCCAGGGTTTCAATTTTTTCTTTTTCTTTCTCAATTTTTCTTTTTTCGCTTTCTCTTTTTCTTTCTTCTTCAAATCAGCCAACAATTTCTTTTGTTTTTCTTTTTCAGCTTTCAACTTTTCTTTATCTCGTCCTTGGTTTTTGACTTTCTCTCTTTTTTTCCTGTTATACTCATCAATCCACTCTTTCGGAGTTAGCGTTTCTCCTCGGACTACTAAAACCGTTCCACCTTTTTCTTCCGGTGGATATTTATCAAAATTTTTGACTTGAGTGTACCACTGATAAAACCATTCTCTAATTTCATCTCCTATATCTTCCATCAAACGAGGACCAATAACTTTGAAAACTCTTGTTCTTTCATTTAAATTTGCTTCAATGTATTCTTTAATTCTTTGATCTCTTATATCGCGTCGTTTTTGTAAATTTCTTTCTAATTTCTCAAACTCTTCGTTTGATTTCCAACTAGGTTCAATCATTTTAATCAAATATCTTCTTTCCAATTCTTTTCTTTTCACCAGCTGTCTTGCGCAATGTCCTTGCCAGTATCTTTGAATATGAAGAGAAGCTTTTTCTTGCGTTTCTAAATCAACAGGTTCAGGTTTAAAACCTTCCCTTATTTTTCTCCTATATTCATTTACTTTCCATTTTTCGTCAAAATATATCCTTGTTTGTCTACCACGTTCATGATTTTGGATTAGAATAACAGCGGAGGTAATTTGTTCTTTTCGTTTTATATCTTTTAGCTCTTCTTCGGTAAGTTCTTTTACTTCAGGGGCAAATTTCTTGGGTCGTTTTCTATATTATTGTTTTTTTAAAAATTAAATTAAAAAATTTGAAACTATACTTAGCCTTTTTCTCGGATTCGGCTATTTCCTCAGGAGTTGGCTCAACAATTTCCTTGGATTTTGATTTTTCTCCTTTGGTTTCTACACCTTCTTCTTCACCTTCTGCCTCATCTGGTGGGGGCGGAGGTGGCGGAGGCGGTGTGTAAATTTTTTCACCATTCTACAAATCTTTAACAATTTCTATTTCATAAATTTAAATAGTTACTTTTATTTTTGTCCAAAGTTCTTCCATATTATAATGTCTGAGATAATACAACATTGGGTCTAAAATTTCGACATCCTGTGGTACCAGTTTTAATTCAATTAAAGCACCATCTATGTAGTGATATTCAGAAATATCAACATTTCTTAATTCTTCGTTTAATTCATGAAGACGAACCGTAGCTGTGTCCATTAATTTTCGTACAATTATGCGCTTTTGAGGCTAGTTATATACTGTTAACATTAAAAGTACCTAAAATATTTTGGTTTACTTGAGCCATTTGATCCAAAATTGTGCCTAAATCTTGGACCATCATGCTGTATTTCGCATACAATCCTCCGATCAAATGACTGGCCAAATTCCGGTCTCTTATTTTCTTATCAGTCGCTTTAACAAAAATTTCATCTTTGGCCCTCAACTGCTCCAAAGCGTTTCTGGTGCCAGCCCACCATTTCGAATAATATTCGAAGGACATTTTACTTAAATTTTACATTTGAAGCCAAAAAATTATTACATTTTCTAAAAAAATCCTGTCAAACTGACAAATAACTAGGTATGTCACATTTTTTCACTCAGAAAACCCGTCAATATTTTAATCGGGTTAAAAACCGCCCATGGGAATGTTTCTTGCGCCGACCATGATAAACAGTGTATGGTATTTTAATTTTCTTGATTTTTTTGTTTGGTGCTCCTTCATCCTACACTGTTACAGACATGTTGATCATGGAATTCCTCTGCGGGCCGTTCGAAACAATGGGTAGTCGGCCATGTTGACTACTCAAGAAGCCATATTTTGTCCTGGGGCAAGCCGAGTTGGACGCCCACGACATGTACCTGATCACAGAGATCAAGCCGCGCATTCCGGTATATTCACCGCGATCACTTGACCTATACAGGGCCGGGTCTGGGCATTTTGTGCTTTACTTCACCTGCATCATATAAAAACACCTTCTGGAACAGAAGTAAAGACTTAAAATACGTACTTTAGAGAGCAAATAAAAAAGAGATCTAAACAGTTTAAAAATCAATTTTGTTAAATAAATTGATAAATTGTCACTTTACATGCATTTTTTTTTAATCAAATCAAAACTATCTAATACATACAGGGTGCGCCAGAACTCGCGCCCCAGAGAAAATTTTCAAGTAAGGTAAGATACCAGGAACATGAAAAAAATGTTTAAAAAATTCTATCTGTCAAAATTTTTGACATTTCTTTTTTGACATTTGACATTTTTTATATCTATTTAAGGATACTGATGATCTTGTATATGTTTTTTTACAAGTATTTAGTAAAAGGACAAAAATTTTGCCAATAAAAGCCACAAATAACATTAAACAGAGTTACAATTTAGGATAAAGCTTCCTTGTTTTCTTTTTTAATAGCCTATAGCAAAAAAACATGGACAATCATTTTTCTAAACATAAATAAATAGAGTCAAAGTGCAAAATTGAACCCTCATAACTTCGAAATTTTTGTAAATAAAATTTTTTTAACATTTTTTCCATGTTCCTGGTATCTTACCTTATATGGCATTTTTCTCTGGGGCGCGAGTTCTGGCGCAACCTGTATGTATTAAAAGTACTACAAAAGTAAGTACAGTAGAGTCCTGCTATAATGATGAGAATTAAAAGGATCTTAAAGATAACAATTTTGTTCAAAATTTGGAGCCAATGTCAAACTTGTTAATTTTTTTTGTTAACATATTTTATCGAAGAGCTTACGTCTAGAATACTTTTATTATTGATAATTTTACTTTCCTTATCCTACAAGGAAGGTATTGTAATCGGCTACCCAGATTTTTACATTTCTGGACGAATTATAGCTTCAAGACACCAAAAAAGTTGGTTTGGGCCATTGGGTCGTTGTGTGTGCATATCTCGAGAACGATAAGAGCTAGAAACTTGAAATTTGGTATGTAAGTTACTTGTAGGAAGGGGACGCAGCATGAAACATTTGGCAAAAATCGGTCGCACCGTTCGGCCGCAAGGACCAAAAGTCGGCCATAAAGCGGCCGCAAAATTATGCAATAAATTCTTGGAGATACAAATTATTTAGAATTATGAAATATACTTTATTTAACAGTAAAATGTGGTAAAATAATAATAATAATGGGTACCGAACTAAAAAAAACTGCACCCCAGACTCGAACCTGAGACAACTATGGTCTATTTCGCGTGTAATCACAGTTGGTATTAACGCAAAGGTTACACTAAATTATTGTTGTTATTAGGATGGTTTCCAAATAAGTAGGATAAGGAAATTCGTGTGATGTTCACACCAGATTTTTTTAATGAAAATTATTCTATTATATTAGATTATACAGCGTGTTTACAGTCTTCGAGTTGAAAGTTGACCTAGTAATAGAATAGTACAGAAATACTTTAACAGAGAAAAAAACTCACACAATTGTTATTATTAAGAATGTTATTTAACTCCAAAATATTGGTACACGGTTTGAGGGTCACTGGAATTATTTCCTTGTTCAGATAAAATTGTATTGTTGCAACAGATAAAAAAATCGTATCCATGAAAATGAAAGAGAAAAGTCACTTCATCGTTTTGACACTGTCATCGTTTTGACACTGTCATCATTTGATTTGCTTTTGCTTTAGTTTTTATCAAAATTCGAAGATCTTCTGTTTAATCTCTTTCAGCGAATGGTTTCCAATAGGTTTAATTCGTTTTTCTTAATTTTTCTCCAAATTTATGAACATGCATGGCAAAATATTAAAATAATAAATTGGTTATCGTGATTATGATTTACGGTGAAACACAAGGTAATGATACTAATGGCCATTGTTGCAGCCGAAGCAGCAGTTCTCAAACAAATAGTGTAAAATGAATAATTTCCTTTAACAACGTGAATTTTTGTTTTATACAGCGTATTAGTTTTCTTTTACTGTGAATATCATCTCATTTAAATTTCAACCTCAAGATCGTAAACACCCTGTATACGAGCACAACTGTAATATGTATTTATTTGTTTTTTTTTTCAAAAGAAGAGTTAATTGTCCCCACATCATCAATATTATATCTACAGGATGATTCAAAAGTGTCGGACCAACTGTCAAATGATGATAGAAGACTTCAGCTAAGCATATACTTGTTTTCATATTAATGTGCATCGAAGTAGTCGTTAAAAGGGATCATTTAAGATGGCAACCATGAGAAAACTCAGACAATCCTAACCTCAATCTTCACTAAAAATATATTTTTTTAATAAATGTGTACCCCAGGTAGCAAAAAATAATTAAAATTAGCAACGTAATTAACATGGGGTAGCAAACATAAAAAATTTTGTCATTATTGATGTGATTAAATTTGTCCTGAAATACATACATTAATGACACATTTTGTGTGAATCGGGCTTTAAATTAAAGATGCATTTAGACTTCTACAACCTACTTGATGCACATTAATATGAAAAAGAGTATAAAAATAAATTCAGATTTTTGTTTCAAGCTTTTTTTTTTGACAAAAACAGAACAACATCGGAAACAAAAGAACGAAGATGTTTACATAATGTAATAAGTATGTAAAATGTAGACATCTTCGTTCTTTTGTTTCCAATATTGTTGGATTTAATTTATTGTTGAATTTGCTAGTTTGTTAAATATTTTTACACCATAAAATGTCCAATTTTATCTGCAAATATTTCACATCGAGTATAAAGAGCAAGTAAGAGATTTTACTCCATGCCTGAAAGGTAAAACTTGTACTTGTGTCATTTAGTAACTAAATAAAAAAATATATAAAAAATTAAATTTAATGATAATAAAAAATAAATAAACAAATTTATATAATAAAACTTCTTTAATAAAACAACAAAACTAAAAAGATATTCAAAAACAACAGAGAAATGGTAACTTTGATTTAAATTACAAAATCAGTCTTTCTACCAAAGTGGGCAATTGACCAAACAAGATGTCACTTTGAGCATTTGCTGTATTTTTTTATTCCTTGTGCATTTTAATAAACCTATTTTTTTATTATTACTATTTTAACTTGACTATTAAAAAAAAGTATACAAATCTTTTTGCTCGGGGAGGGTAATTACCCCCTTTACCTGCCCCCCTTGTATCCGCGTTTGCTACTTGTATTCGTACAAACTACTCGGTACTAGTACAAAAGTAAAAAAATAAACTATTAAATTATTTGTATTGTTTGATTTTATTTTCATCATAAATTTTACAAATAAATTTAAAAAATGTAATACCTACCTATTTTATAGGTAAACTAACTAACTAACTAACTTTTTAATTTTTAAACACAAACAACAAACTGCATTGTTTCACTTGGAGCATAATTTAATTTTGAAGAATATAAAAACATAAGTTGATATTAAAAACATTTTTAAAATAGAAAACTTGAAAACGTTATACATATTTAACAACCGGTACATTAATTATAACAGGCTGGATTATAAAAAAACGTCTCAAACTTCATTAGTTTAAAAAAATATATGACAATACTCTTAGAACAAAGTTGAACAGTTTATTGTCATCTATTGTTTGAGATCAATGCTGCTTCCTGTTTCATCGGAAGTGCATGACAACAATTTCAGTTTTTTAAATGAAACAGCCTGTGTATTTTATTATTTTTGGATTCCTTATTAAATCGTCTTTCATTAAGCTCACCAACTATTATATCACAAACTTGTGCTTTTAGGCAATTTAAAAATTAAATTAAATTAAGTAGGCTATGGAAAGGATGTAGAACATTTTTATTCTTCTTTATCTGACAAGAAACGACTGATCACAATAAACTGTTCCACTTATTTGATCAAAAAAGTATTGTAACGTCTTCAAAAGTAAAGAAATTATATCTGGGACATTTTTTATAATCCAGCCTTTATAAAAAACCTCTATTTTATGATAATTTTGTCTAGAGTTTGCTGTGCTTATAAAAAATTATACAAAATACGAAAAAAAATCTAAAAAAAAATTTCAGAGTACTCTTGATCTTCAAAATGTATCTTCGTTTCTTTTAATTTAGTTAGGACGTTCTCTTTTAGAATTGGTTTTACTTATATCTACCTAATATGGATCACACAGTATAATTTTATGTTTCAGTAAATAATAAACACCAGCTAATTTTATTCATTTTTTACAAATATAACACATGTTTTTTTTCTTAATTAGAATGTAGGACTAATAAATTTTTTGGTATTGTTCGGTCAGATGTCCGCGATAGGACTTGTTGGCTGTAGTTAAGATGTTTTTAATTGTCGGTTGTGGCCGTGTTGTGTTTAATTATCTCCTGAAAAGAGTGTAATTGTGACGGTGGTGATAAATGGGGGGCATCCCCCTAGATCCGGCCCTGGAGGTAAACTATTCCTTCCCTGATCTAAGTTATGAGGAGATGCATAGTACGGCATACACCCACAGAGTCGAGCACGGCTCTGTAAATCAAAAGATGAAATTGCAGGTTTGTAATCACGGTCGCCTATGGCACGTAACTTGGTGAGCCAATCGCTGAGCCGGCATCTCCCGCTCTGGCCAATGGCCGCCAGTCTTACCCCCGGCCTACTC